GAGGCTGAGTTCTAAGACATCACCTGAGCTCCTGGATCCAGATATTCCTGAAGCAGGCTCTATGCCTGGACTTGTCTGTTAGAAGAGCCAGTGCATCCTCTTTTGTGTGGAAGCGGGTCCCAGCTTTCTGTCATTTACAACCAAATGGGTCTTGATGGACATAGAGGTAGATGAACAACAAGGCAATGCTGGGGCAGTGAGGTGTGGGTTTGATGTGGGGAGCAGAGAAGGGCTCAGGAGTGGATAGGAGGCATCCAGCTAGGCTGTGACCTCTGAAATCTCCCTGTAAGGTCACGCCTCAGGCTGAGTAGCAGTGACCTAAGGGAAGCAGGTAGGGGAGGTGAGGGGGCAGCTGCACTTTGGAAATGGAAATCCCAGTGGAGCCAGCTTTAGCACTAAGGGGATGTCTCAGTTCTTCTAATGGGTAAGTGCAGGATACGTCCTGCTTCAGGAATGACTGGATCCAGGAGCTCAAACAATGTCTTTCAACTCCACTTTAAGGGATGAAGTGTAAGTTCTATGTTCAGTCTAGGTTCTGACCAATATGCCACGACATCCACCCTAAAGTTCCTCCCAGTTCAGTTGGGCAAGGAGATATGAATTTGTTCAATAACTGTGTTTACCAAGGCCCCGTGACAAGCCAGCTCCTCCCCATTAAGGTGATATTACCCCAGGGGGCATCAGCTTTTGGGTGTCGGATCCAAAGGCCAGTGAAGGAGACACAGAAGAGTGTGAGAAATGCCCACCTGAGGACTGGGCGTGGCGTTGGAGCCGGGGAGGGGGGCAGCAGAGTGCCTGCGTGTGTGCACCTGCGTTTGCGCACCTGTGTGTGTGCACCTGTGTGTGTGTGCACCTGTGTGTGTACCTGCGTGTGTGCACCTGTGTGTGCACTTGTGTGTGTTTATATGTGCACATTGAAGGAAGGACGCAGTCTTTGTTCCACAGTCACCCTGCCTGGCTGATCACCACCTTGCTCTATCCCTCTCCATCTTCCTCCCACCATGCCCCAACAAATCCCTCTGGTACCCACCCCGCCCTGTGATTCAGGAAATGTTGCAGAGCCCATACCCCTTCTATGGGAACTTAGCCCCTCACGGGGTGGTCAGTTCTGGTAAATAATAAGCTGACGTAGTTTGGATGTGTCCCCAACCAAATCTCATCTTGAATTGTAGCTCCTGTAATTCCCATGTGTTGTGGAAGGGACCCAGTAGGAGATGATTGAATCATGAGGGCGGTTTCCCGCTTACTGTTCTCATGGTATCGAATAAGTCTCATGAGATCTGATGGTTTTAGAAGGGAAACCTCTTTCGCTTGGCTCTCATTCTCTCTCTTCCCTGCTGCCATGTAAGATATGCCTTTCGCCTTCCACCATGACTGTGAGTCTTCCCCAGCTACATGTAGCTGTGATTAAATTTCTTTTTCCTTGTAAATCACCCAGTCTCGGGTAGGTCTTTATCAGCAGTGTGAAAATGGACTAATCCACAGGCACTCCCTACTGATCGGCCAGAAAAGGTCACATGACCCGTGGCTTGGCCAATGACTTCCGTCAGGGCCTGGGACCCTGGGGTGGGGCTGGGAAAGAAATTGCTCTTTGGCAGTTCAGCTAAAAAATCCTGAGAGCTCAAAGGTGAGGAGAGAAGATTCTAGAAAGGTCCAATGATAAGGAAGTCAGGTGGCCATGATGGGCCTTGAGGAAGTCAGACCTTGAGTGAGAAGAGAGTTGGGGCAGTGTCTCAGTTGGCTCAAGCTGCCGTAATAAAATGCTTCACACTGAGTAATTTACAAACAACAAGAATTTATTGCTTACAGTTTTGGGGTCTAGGAAGGCCAAGATCAAGGTGCTGGCAGAGTCGGCGTCTGGTGAGGGCTTGGTCTCGGCTTTAATGATGGCGCTTTGTTGCTGCATCTTACGTGGAGGACAGGCAAGCAGGACTAGCAGACCCCCTTAAGCCCTTTTGTGAGAGTGTGAATCCCATTCATCCTCCCGACTCCATCCTCTTTCAATAACTGTTTTTATCAAGGCCCTGCTTCATGCCATTGCACTGGGATTGTGGCTGGTGGTTGCTGCTTCTGTTTTTGTTTTTGAGATGGAGTCTCACTCTGCAACCTCTGCTCCAAACTCAAATGATCCTCCCTCCTCAGCCTCCCGAGCAGCAGGACCACAGATGTGCACCCCCATGCCCAGCTAAGTTTTTGCATTTTTGGGAGAGATGGGTTTCATCATGTTGCCCAGGCTGGTCTTGAACGCCTGAGCTCAAGTAATCTGCCCATCTTGGCCTCCCGAAGTGCCAGGATTACAGGTGTGAGCCACTGCACCTGGTTGGAATTATGTTTTGATATGAGTTTTGTTGGGGCTCAAACATTCAAACCACAGCAGGATGGAAGGTAACTCAAGGCAGGTGCCCTGGGCCCAGGAATGAGTGGAGAGAGTGGCCTGGGACAGGCTGGGGGTCTGAACCCCGCTCCCATCTACCAACCTCCTCTCGGCACACCAAGGGCTCCCCAAGGCAACTCTCTGCCACCTGCTTCGTCCTGAACCAATCCCCACGCCAGGTCCATCCCCAAAAACTGACTCATGCAGGTTACGTACCTGGAAGCAAGCAGATCAAACGATGCTTATGGAAAGCAGCAAGCAGCAGGCTAGGTTCGCTAGCCTGCACCCACCCCCAGCCTGTGTCCAAACCCCATGTGAGGCTGCGCTCTCAATTCCGGCTCCCCATCAGCTCCCCGAGTGTGAGGCTTTATCTACGCAGTGGCTGCCGTCTGCAGCTTTGCGACGCCTCTTTCCAAGAGTCATAGCTTCCAGCTTGGGGCTGAGATTCGTGTGGTTGTGAGTGATGGGCTGACCAATGTCTCCAGGAAAGTGACTTCTGGATTGCGTGTCTGCGGGATGAAGACCTGGGGAAGAGAAGATGGAGGGTCAGCTTCACAGATGCATGGCCTGGGCATTTGCACAGGGACCCTCTCTTGGAAGGATGCCGAGCTCAGCTTGAGGCTTTGTTGTTACTGTCTTTAGATTTGTACTGAGTCTTGAACACGGAGCCCCACCTTTTCACTTTGCACTGGGTCCCCAGATCCCATAGCCAGTCCTGTCCTAGTTTCACAGCAGTGAGATGAAGGAGCAGAAATAACACCGGAAAGCCCCATCCCAGGCTCTCCCAGGCCTCCCAGTGACCCCAAAAGGCAGCTCTACATGCTCTGGCACTGGCAGCCTCTGATGAGCAATTTCCTCAAACAAAACAAGAAAAAACGAAAACATTCCAGGCCTTACACATCTCAGGATAAGGTCCCGCCTGCCACTGGAGGAGGAAGTGACAGGCAGACCTCATTTGATTGCACTGTACCTTGCTGTACTTTGCTTTATTACACTTCATAGATACCGCCTTTTTTTACGAGTTGAGGCTTCGTGGCACCCTGCGTGAGGCAAGTCTATCAGCGCCGTTTTCTCCAGCAGCATGCGCTCACTTCTAGTCTCTGAATCACATTTTGGCATTCCTCATAATATTTCACACGTTTTCATTTTATTATATGTGTTATGGTGATCTGTGATCGGTGATCTCTGATGTTGCTACTGTCATTGCTTTTCTTTGGGGTGCCACAAATATCTCCGGTAAGATGGAGAACTTAATCAATAAATGTGTGTGTTGTTCTGACCTGTCACTGATCAGCTGTCTCCTCTCTCTCTCTCTCCCTCCCTCCCTCCTCAGGCCTCCCTATTCCTTGAGATACAACAATATTGAAATCAGGAAAATTCGTAACCCGACAATGGGCCAGGTGTGGTGGCTCACGCCTGTAATCACAGTACTTTGGGAGGCTGAGGCAGGTGGATCACCTGAGGTCAGGAGTTCAAGACCAGCCTGACCAACACGAAGAAACCCCGTCTCTACTAAAAATACAAAATTAGCCAGGCATGGTGGCACATGCCTGTAATCCGAGCTACTCAGGAGACTGAGGCAGGAGCATCACTTGAGCCTGGGAAGAGTGGTTGCAGTAAACCAAGATCACACCATCGTTCTCCAGCCTGGACAACAAGAGTGAAACTCCATTCTCAAAAAACAATCAATCAACCAACCAATGAATCAATCAACAACAACTGGAAGGAAGAGTTGCATGTCTCTCACTTTAAATCAAAAGCTAGAAATGATTAAGCTTAGTGAGGAAGGCATGTCAAAAGCTAAGAGAAGTCGAAAGCTAGGTCAAAAGTTAGCCAAATGGTGAATGCAAAGGAAAAGTTATTGAAGGACATGAAAAGTGCTGCTTCAGAAGACACATGAGTGATGAGAAAGTGAATCAGCCTTATTGCTGGTATGCAGAAAGTTTTAGTGGTCTGGATAGAGGCTTGAGCCAGCCATAACAGTCTCTTAAGTCTAAGCCCAGTCTAGGGCAAGGCCCTTGCTCTATTAAATTCTAAAGGCTGAGAGAGGTGAGGAAGCTGCAGAAGGAAAGTTGGAAGTTATCAGAGGTTGGTTCATGAAGTTTAAGGAAAGAAGGCGTTCCCATAACATCAAAGTGCAAGGTGGGGCAGCAAGTGCTGATGGAGAAGCTGCAGCGGGTTATCCAGAAGCCCTAGCTAAGATCATTGATGAGGATGACTACATGACACAGCAGGTTCTCAATGGAGGCGAAGCAGCCTTTGTAGGGACATGGATGAACCTGGAAACCATCATTCTCAGCAAACTGACAGAAGAGCAGAAGATCAAACACCGCATGTTCTCACTCATAGGCGGGTGTTGAACAATGAGAA